TGTCTCTTGTGTGTTTACACTTGTGATTTTTTTACAGCAGCTGAGTATGTGATCAACAGTTTCATCAGCTTCTTTGCAAAGCCTGCATTTGGCATCATCAGAGGATTTTTTGATTTATTATTATTATTATTATTATTAAACACATTTATATGCCACCCAATCTCCATTCAGATCTATTTCAACACATTATATTAAAGCTATATATTGCTTGCCTTGGAATAAACTTATTTAACTAAATGGAAATGCTTTTGAATGGATCCTTACAGAATATTATTGTAACTTTCTCCAATGTATGTGTTAATAAAACACCAGATATGAAAAATCTCTGTAAATATGATCAGTAAAGCTGAAATATCAACGATGAGCGATTCTCCCATTAAGGAAGCAAAAGGTTTATTTTCCACTTACCAAATAATTTCTGGTATTCTTCTATATAGTAATCAGGGGTTGCTGGAGCGCTGTTTCCTCGAATATCTTGATTTTTAATTTCTAAAAAGTTGTAGGAGCCTATTTGAATTCCAGTGCTATTATATATATTATAGTGTGCAGGTTCTTCTGATTATGGGAAAATGTTTAGGGGAAAAAAAAACACAAGTGTAAACACACAAGAGACAAAAACTTAAGGAATTAAAAAATACCAAACTGTACGTTAACAGATATATGAACAGTATTTTTTTTCATAAAATGAAAATGGTATGATTTCTTCCTCTGAACATCAAGGGCAGATTCAAAGAACCACCTTCACCAGAGTTGATTCGTATAGTGAATATGCCAATAGTTTGCCAACAGGTCACAGCATATTTGAAATCGCAGCTTATTTGAAAGTTGTTTTTTTTTATAATCCTCATGTTTTTAAAGGACGTATCAATGGCTCCACCTCTTGAAGAATAATTTTTTAAAAGCCTTTGAAGCATCCGTGCTATTTCATTCCAGGCTAGGCAAAGTTATGCATAGCAGAAAAGGCAAAAATTGTAGCTCGCCAAAGAAATTGAAAGCATGTGATAAGAAATATATCAGAGGTGGGTTCCTACCAGTTCACACCAGTTCGGTAGAACCGGTTCGTCAAATCTACCAAACCGGTTAGAAGAGGTTCCANGCAGTGAGTTGTTCCTGGATGCCCGGCACCGAAGAGCTACTCGGCGTCAGGAACAATTACGCAATTACAGGTGGTAATTGCACTCAGCTGGTGGTCATTAGGCTCCTCTCTAGACTATAAAAGGACTGCTTGTGACACGCCCTTCTTGCAGGAGTCAACGTATTCACTAAAGAGAACTAACTTGGCAGGCTGAATTGCTGCCAAGGTTTGTCTGAGTTGCTGCCAATGTACGTATCTGTTTGTTTGCTTGGCTTTCAGCCACCGAGATTTGGTCTTGCTATTAAAGGACATTCCAATTAAGCTTGTCTCGGCATTCGTTACTGGACGGAGGAGGGGGTCAGAACACTTTCCTTTCCCTCCCTCATCCTCCTCCTCAGCCAGCACTATTGCTACTAAAGGCCAAGTGAGGTATATACCAAAATCTTCCCCAGCTGCTCTGCAGTCCTCTCTCTCCCTCTGCTCAGCCACTGCTGCTCCTCTCCCTTAGCTGTGGAAGAACCCCATTGTGGTCCATGTCCAGAACAAAACAGCCGTCTTGTTCTGTGTGTGCCTAGAGCAAAAGACTCGAAATGTTTTGTCTGCTTCTGCTGGAAAGCATTCTGTCAAATTCCTAGCTTTTTTTTTTTAAGGGAGTGCTACGAAAACATCCCTTGGGATTGGCACTATTTGATTTTTTATCTCAGATTCCTTACTCTGCTTGCATAGAGTAGTGGCCTCATTTGTCGTGACCAACAACTGCTTGTAATACAAAAAAATGTCCTCTGGGAAAAAAATATTCAACCCAGCCAAAGTCCTCCAGCTCTTTCTTCGACGTCTTTAGCTGTTGTTTCTATCAACATTCTGGCTTATTTTGATAAACTTATTGAGGAGATCTCTCCGGTCGCAAGCAAAGAGGGCTCTGGCCAACTTCCCCACCGTTGCCCCTTTGCTGCCTTCCTTCATCAGCCACCTCTGGAACATCTGGTAAACCTTTTCTTTCAGTCCATCCCGTTCGTAGTCGTGGTCAATTTCGTCCAGCTCCGGGTCACTGAAACCTAGCTTACGAGCGCACTGTTTCCACTTTTTGGATAAGTTGTCTCTCACGAGGTTTAGGTAAACATCCGAAACTATAGCAGTGCTGTCTGGTGGTAGAAAAAAGAAAGAAAGAAAAAAGAAAATAGTTATTTGGGTTTCCCCAGAAAGATGTTCTTTGAGGCCATTGGTGCTATATAGGTAGTCCTTGACTTACAACCTTTAGCAAACATTCAAAGTTACAGCACTGAAAAAGTGACCTTTGGCTGGTCATTGTAACTTACAATCATTGCAACATCCCTACAATCATTTGGAAACTGGCATGTATTGATTGCTGGTTGCAGAATCCTGGGGTCTTGTGATTATTATACAATTGTATCACAGCGGCCAGTTGTTTCGCCGGATTTGGCATTGGTTACTAGTCGGGCCCCACCCAGGGGCCTAGGACGTCGTAACCTTATTTTC